CCATAAACCACAGCATCATCACAGAAGATGTTCACGGTTTGCATATCTTGAAGGATGCCCTTAGAAACTAAGCAGGTGTATGACACCTGAGATAATATTTAGCCTAGCAGTCCTTTACATATCACAACACTTAACTGGAGATCTACCTGGAAAAGGAATAAATCTCTGCAAGATCAACTACAGCCTCTGCAGAAACAAACACACTGAAGGGCAAAGCAAACCCAGACAAACTACATAAGCACAGCTTCTGTAATGTTATTTTTAGCCTAGTTTTCTTAAAAAAAAAAAAAAAAAAAACAACAAAAAACAACCAAACCAAAACTGTGCTGCACAAACAGTTTTAAAGGAGCTGTTAGTACTCAGGAAATAATGGCCAGTCTTCGCGAGCAAAGATTTGGGAAAGGTCATTAACCCTTCGAGCCTGCGCAGTGGATTTTTTAGGTGAGACACAGCGTGCGCTGAACTGAGCCCACCCTTTAATCCTGAGGTTCATCTGCCCCTCCTGTGCACTGCTCAGCAACCAGAAAACCAAACCAGAAAGAACATTAGGCTACCCTATAAATCTACTTCACCCAGTTTTGGTGTCTGTACCCATCATACCAACCACTCACCTGTAAAAAAATGAAGGGGAAGGGGAGGCAGGGGGCAGAAACACCAGAATATTCAACAGGATTACATAACAGAAGACTATGTTTTTCAGCTTGGAAAAGAGACATTTGAGGGGAAAAAAAAGACAGAGGTCCATAAAATCATGAAAGATGTGCAGACTGAACAGAAATGACCATTCACTAATTCTCACCTAAAGTCCTGAATCACTTACAATAAAAGTCATCAAGAAATCAAGAATAATGTTTTCAAAAAGAGGGTTGTTTTCTTTCAGCAAGACTATTAAACTGTAAAATTCTCTTGTCACGGAGCACCTTCAAAGCCAAAAGTATAGCACAATTTAAGTGAATTGGAGCTTTCAACAACTTTGTATACAAACTGCTATGCAATACAGTCCAGATACAGTCTCTACCAAGTTCCTAAATTGCTGATTGCTATGAGAAAAGAAGGATACATTCAAGGCATTTATAGTATCTGAGCTTCATGGGCTACATGTTATTTTTGGAAAAAAGTAAGCTACCTTGATCTTCATCTGAAAGTCTGTACTACATACAGTCAGACTAAAGAAATAGGTAATTCTTTCTCCCCAGCCCAACACGCAGAACAGTCACTACCCCAACATCAAAGCATTCCTCCAAACACACTTTGCAGAGTTCACTACTCGTTCATTATTCCATGAGCAAATACAACACTGAGAAACAAAACCACTTTTCATTAGCTCTAGAAGCAGTTCACAGGCACTGAAAATGCATCTTCCTGACAGATAAAGCAATCCTAGAAGTCATAAATACTGGAGGACACTAACAACTGGTTTCAATGCTTCAATAAATTTAGTCCAAAAACTGATTATATAAAGCAAACAATGATTTCAAATGGATTTAATTACTTAGCAACTAAACAAATCTGCACTGACAATATATTGTAAGAGATGGCCAGCAAACCAGCTGCTTATCAAGATCTACACTTCCAGACCCAGAAACAACAGCAACTGCCACCCAAAAGAGCCACAGCCCGTGTTGTTCCCAAACTCAGCACACTCACATTCTCTCCCTTACACTCTCCTATGACTGTGATATGCAACCAGTAAAACAGGAGGAAAGAACTCGTATCAGCCATTTGCTGTCTTAGAGTTTCCTGGGTGGAAGTTTGTGCACTGTCTGACGAGTTTTCACCAGTTTCTGTATAGTCCTTATTTCTACATAAGCTTCCCAGTGGCAGGGTTTGTGCCCCCTACTCTAAACTCGGTTATACGGCTGAGCACTCACAGTACCTTTAGCACAAATATACGCTCTCCATTCCAAGGCTAATGTTAGACACAAGTGTTCTATTGCTGTTGCATAATCACTACCTATATTTTGCTGGTCTTCCCAACCTGCTTCAATGCCTTGAGTTTTCCTCTTAGAAATCATTAATCATGAATGTGCTCCATCTCTGTTCAGTTATCACTTTTTCCCTTTTTAGCCTGTAAAGTGGCCCAAAAAGTGTTCTATGCTAGAAATGATAAAGAAAATGTGCAGCCTGGGGTGGCACTAAAGAAGGAAAGGAGAGAAGATTAAGTGGAAAATTCTCACCCATTATATCATTTGGAAGAAGATGCCAGGAATAGGTACCCAAAAATGAGGCTAGATGACTGATTTCTACACAGTCTATCACTTTTCAGACAGACATCCAAGTTCAGCAATAAATTCTAGTTTGTGCCAGGATTTCCAGACACTGTTCTTCAATCAATGCTTTTTAAAAAGCATGCTTTGCTTGTTTAAAAAGGAACACTCTAAGGACATGTTCTTTGATTTTTTTTAATTTTATTTTTTTTCTATCCTATCTGCTGCAGCAGTCTACACTTAAAGTGTAAATAGCACTACTGTACAATGTATTCCAAAAGCTATTCAAGTATTCCTAGTCAGAATTCATGTCCTAGACAGTCATTATTCCATTATCCCTGTGTATAATGTATTCCTTTAAAAGATTTTGAGATTAAAGCTGAAGATTTTAATATAAAAGTTTTATATATAACTGTTAGAAAGAAACAGGAACTTTGTCAAAGCCAGCAAAACATGCTTGCCCACTAGATATAAACTGGAAAGAAACTCACAGCAAACATGAAAGTACAGACTTCTTTGTCTATACTCATATCCTATTAGTTTTATGGAATCAACTAAATCCCAAAGTAGCATCACACTACGGTACATATTAAATCTGGTCACGGTGACACTGCCTTCAGTAATAATTCTCACCTTGACAAATAAAATATCTGACTGAAATATAACATACATGGATAACTGTAACTAAACTGAGCACAACAGCATCATGCTTGCTTGTTTAAAATAAAATTCTTTAAAATGCCCAAAAATCCTTACAAAGCTACTTGCAGGCAGATTGGAGAACAGCATCTAGCACTGCAGCCCTGCTCAGTGCTTCCAAGGAACCCTATAACTGCAGCAGACAGCTGAAGAGCTTTGGGATTTGATCAGCAAGTACCACATGCTGAACTTTTACATATACATGGATCATCCCCTAAGTCTAGCATCGACATTTAGAGTCACAGATCTAATACTTGCACAGAATACCGAATGAAGTTCTGTGCAATACAAGCCATAAATTTAATCCTACACTTCCTCTCATCAAACCCACAACTGAATCACACTGAACTTTAAAGGTACCATCAGTTCTTTGATTATAAAAATTAGATCTAAATAATCTCAAATTACTGCCAGCATTGTACCTCAAAGTTGATGTACCACATAATCTGTCCCTCGATCTGACCTGCCCAAACTCCTCCAGAGAGTATGAGTCTTTAGACAAACCACCCAAAGCAACAGTTATCCATGATGCCCCCCACCGCCAAATCCTAAAATCTTCTCTTGCAACCATCTTTCAACTTATCACCCTATAAACACATATGTGTGCTGCTGCACCCTCTCCTACTTTAATATAAGGTTTTAAAAATTGAAAAAGACAAATCTTTTCCAAAGCAAACAAACCTGGTACTCCTTTAAGGTCACTTTTCTAATCAGCCTCTTACTGTCAACCTTTCTCCCATTTAATTTGTATTTTCAGACAGCACTTCCCAAAACTAGGCAGATTCCAGCACTGAACAGACCAAAGTAATTACTTCCTTTAAGTTCCATACAAAACTCCAGTTACTGACTGGAATTAAGCTTACTTTTCCATTCAACATTAGCATAGTAGACTGTTACTGGAACCTACTATATCAATGGATGTCCTTCCACAGTACTGCTAAATAATCAACTATACTCAACTTCTAAAGAATGTTCTTCATATGTTTTACTTTGCACACAGAGATAAAATGGGGTCCATCATATCCCTTGTAAAAAAGAAGAAACAGACTGAAAAATTATATTTGTGGTTCCTCCAATTTTCTTCCCTCAGTTTTTGATGTTTATTTTTAAGTAATGACTTAAGTATTGCAACAAAGCTAATGCCAGATTTTTTTCTATAAGTTTTGCAGGTTTCTCTGCCGGAATGTAATAAAACCTTCAGCAAAAAAATCTTTGAAATTCTGAGAGTTGTGACTTGTTATCTGGATAACATTTAGAACATATAGTTCAGAATCTTAACTAAAGTTCCTAAAAGTCAGGCTTTCCTTTACACGTTTGATAAAAAACACAATGCCGAGCAGATCATTTTACTCAAGTCAGAAGATGTGAGAAGAGCCAGAATTTCAAGAAACTGATCTGAGTGTAAAAAAATAAAAATAAAAATAGAAGTTCCCATTTAAAAACTGAGTAATACTAATTACACTGCAAAACCCCACAAAAGTTATAGACAACCTGACTGAAAAGCTCTTTATATGTTCTCAACACATTTAAAATGATTGAAGTGTTCAATTTTATTTGAAATTGCTCCTGCTCCAGGCTACAAAACACATACTGAAGATAGATCACCACCGTGAATAGCGGTGTCCTGTAACTTGTATTGGAAAGGTCCAAAGGACTGGGTTGTTTTTCCATTCTGTACATAATGAAAGGTTAACCATCTTCCTAACCACTAATACAACATATAGAACAGCTCAAAAAATAATTACTTTATCTAGTAAAACTAGTTTTCTTGAAAGCAACCAAGAAAGACAAACTTATATATTCATATTTTAAATATTGTAATTTAACAGGCAAGAAGACTTCACCCAACCTCTCCAGGATTGTTTTTCAGATGCAAGTTCTGCAAAACTTGTATTATATACCACAAAAAAGTAAGCCTTAAATTACTACCACTATACCCACTTTACCGCTATACCCACTATACCACTACACTTTCAAAGAAGCTAGCTTTTAAGAACAAGCAATATTTTTCATCTCAAGTTCAGCACATAAACAATTACAACTGCACAAAACATATCTGGTAAAACTGCAACATAACCAGTGGCAGATACTTACCAATGCACACATCTATCTTCCCCTTGATGGCAGCTTCATGCAAAGGAGTGTAGTTCCAATTGTCTCTGGCATTTGGGTCGGCCCCTTGGCACAGTAACAGACTGACCACTTCCGCGTGACCAAAGGAGCAGGCGTTGTGAAGGGGGATCAGCCCTCCGTCGTCACGAGCATGAACATTGGCTCCTGTCTGTAGCAAGTGCTCTACGACATCCTTCCTTCCAAAACCTGTAAGAGAACATATTTCTGTTCATTCGTCTGGCAAAACAACATGATTTAATATTTAAAACTGTTCACTGTTCCAGTGCACAGATACCAAACTACATTATTCATGTCCTTCTTACACTTCTAAATTCATTCACCATGAAGTGAAACTATACTCACCTGCTCCAAAAACAGGTGGACAATTCACTTACACTCAAGACAGAGTTGAACTGTGTTGTATTATAATTACCTGCCTAGCTGCCACTCTATCTCATTAAGAAGTTCTACAATAGGCTTGCCATTTTTTTTCCAGAAAAGCTTATTGTGAATTTTTAAAAAATATATAATCTGTATGTAACTAAAGCAACCATCTTACATACTATCTCTTGATATAGCTCTTCATCTAGGAGAAATCCTCATATTAATAAACCCCGAAGGACAGTTCCAGTGCTCAAGCAGAACAACCTTATCTCAACCCAAAATATGTTCTTGCTCTTTTACAGAGTCTGACAACTTCCAGCTGACGGATAAGTTGACTTGAGGCCTCAGCTGGGACACAATGCCTCAGGAAGGTCTCAGCCTAGGAACACAGCCTCTGTTATGACCAGGGAAGGCAACACCGCAAAGCCAGCATTATCAAACTAATACACTTCAAAACTTGGCATCACTATGCCAGGCCCCAACACCTTTACCTTGTTGTCTACAATGAACCTGGAAAGGTTCCACTGCCCAAATCTGCTTCCTATTGCCCCAAATGCCTTAGTACAGCAGTCTCTAAATTTCTGATTACACATGCTATCAGCAGAAAAATTTATAAGTCACCTACATGCACTGCTGCACTATTGCGTAGATTATAGACATGCACAAAAATAGAAACTTTAAAAGGCCGAGATAAAGATGAAATAATAGCTGTTTTTAAATTTCCATTATATTTTTTAACAGTACAAGATATATTTTCTTCCTGCACCCCAATGAAATATTTTGCACACTCTACTTTGGAGACCACTGCTTTAGAGGACGGGGGGGGGAGGAAATCAAGCTCAAGAGGGACACTTTAAACTAAAACACAAGTGTTCGTTTTCATACTAGGTTATATCTCAAAGGCTGGACTGTATTTCCTATAAACCTCAGGGCTAAAAGCAGTATCACTGTTGATTTTAAAAGACTGTCACTTTAAGAGTTATTGTGTCTTCTGGTAATCATGTATACCAACCAGCTTAGGGATGAAGAATCCCACATGTATGAATTCTGTTTATGAAACAGCTGAATTAAATGCCGCAGCTTATAGATTGTATTAGTCCACAAAACACTATCAAAAACATAACTAAAGGCATTATGTCACTTCCGGAAGACATATATAAAGTTCAAGGGGTGCAAAAAAGAAGCTGTCAGCTCTCCTCCAGATGACCCTGTAACACAGCACAGCAAAATGCTGCTGAAACAGAGACAGAAATGGTTCTCAAAAGTCAGCACCCTCCGTCGCAGGCAACAACTCACGCACAAAGACCTCTCAAATTGCAATGTTTTACCCCAGAGTTGCAATCCCTGAACAGGACCTCCATTTCAACGAATTAAGGCCCCTTTTTGCCAGAGCAGTGCACTGGTTACAGCTATGCAGACGTGTAACTTGGAATTAACATGCTTTTCCCCCACAGTCCATACGGCAAGATCTCAAAGCCAGATCTAGCAGCTTTGCACCCACATCAGCTTATCCAGTTAAGGCTAATGTTACAACTTGACATCCAGCATTCAGTCAAGCTGCAGGCTAGCCTTTCTTCAGGAATTTACTCTGTCTCTTCAGTGAGGCACCGAGTCCTTCAACACGCTTTGAAGGACAGAAGTTTTCTACAAGCTGACTAATGCAGAGCCAAAACAAAAAAAATACCCTTTTACCAAGGCTTACCATGGCTTGAGAATTCTGACGACAGTTTAACAAAATCTTTATTTCTGCCTAAAGAAGTTTTCTTCTATAAAACACAAACAAGCAGATGGAAGAAGCAGCTGGGGAATACACCATGGATACAAACACAGACACACACATCTAGTAGAGACTGTAGCAGTCCACTCCTCGGTTAATCCTGTGTGGTAACATAGCTCCGGGGCTCCAGCTAGTAAGTCCAGCCTGGTTACTTTTCCATCTCTGTAAGCACTCCCCCATTCCCACTGTACAGAGCCCTCAGCTGCTTCAGCAGTGATGCTGGACCACTACAAGTTACAAGTTAGCACACTGGGCAGAGACCAAAGTGGGTTTTCTTTAATGCATGGGGCTAAACAGCAGTTCAGCAGCTGCTCAACACGCTGCTGAGTCCCAAAAGCTGCACAGAGGGGCCCACAACCAGACTGACACCCCACTCAGCAATACAATTTTAGTCCACCGTTGCAGATGATTCAAAGCTTTCTGGTACATTATATAGAGATCATTGCGCATTAGAAATTACACTACAGAAATGGAAGCATGTGAATCAAAACCAGTATTTTTAAAAGTGATATTTACTTATCATGACAAAACTGCTACCAGAAGACCCGCCAGCAAGGCCACTGCTACTGTAAATCACTGCAGCTTCCAGTATGAAAACTCTTTCGTTTGTTTGTTTCTGTTATAAAGCAGTCAAGGAACATCACCTGCAAGTTTCTAAATGCAAATTGACGGCTTAAATAGGTGCAACAGCAAACAAAGCATATCTGGTCCCCGAGTAAAGCTAACAAGCCTGGGACATAAAGAACAAGAACTTAAGCCCTTGAAGCTCCCACAGTTATACTGTTTGTTTGACTGGCAAAGGAAAACTGAGGAAGACAAGAATTAGGAAAGGGTGCTTTCAACTAAACAGTGAATCAACAGATTTTATTAGCCTTTAGTTTTTATATACTGAACTATTAAAAACACTGCTGAAACCGCATAAGCATTTGACTTACATGTACCTCTTGTCTCTCAAGGAAAAACCACCTGAGTATACCTGAAAATCACAACTCCTTTTCAAATTGTTCAGTGTTGTTATTTTCAGAACTATACACATACTTCTTCAAGGTACTGCTGAACATGGGGTCATTGATAAGGGTATCTTTGAAAATGCCAGAAATAAATACTTTACAGTTTTGGGGAACTACCTCTTCTGTTCAGTCCTCAAAAAGCACTGTGAGGCTGTAAAGGCTACTGTGATTTCATCCCACCATACCACTCATCTTTCAGAGAAACAATTATGGGAACAGCTTCCACACCACCATCTGCAAACCTAAGATGTTGAATTGATAAAGTGCCAGAAAGTCTTTAAAATTATCACATTACCCAACCTGATAAAGCAGTTGTAGTTACCAAAACTCCTGCAGTGTCAGGTTCATCTTTCATTAAAAAAATAAAACACATGCAAAGCCATTTGTGACAGATGAAGCACATATGATTCAGTTTAAACTGAAGCAACTTATGTGATGACACTTAGGATGACTTTCAAAACACTATTCTTGCATATTTCCATTGCAACTTCGTAAATTAAAGTCTAAGGAAGAGTTCCTAAGAAATTAAGTGCAATCAAAGACCCCAAAAGACAACCCGATAGAAGGTTCCTACAGAAAACATCCAAAACCAGAGAAACCACAGAGAAGAGTCCCATTTAAAGGGCCAGCATGCAAACTTGTTTTGATGAGATTCACCTGTCAGCTTCAACATGGACAGAGTTCCTTATCAGCTTGGCTATTTCACACAAGTAAAATGCACAAGCTTTGCCCTCATTTTAGCTTCTTTACACAATTCAGAATTTTCAGGCAAGTTGTAGTACCTCAAAAAACATTGTCCAGGAGAGAAAGGAAGCAGAAATCCCAATATAAAAAAGGAGCAACAAGAGAACATCTGAAATTTAAGGGTGAAACAGTTGCCAGTCAAATCAAAGAAAAAGGCAAAAATTCAGAGTGACTGACAGGCTCTTCATTTCTCCAGTCATCTCACAGAAACAACTGATGACTAAGGCTTAGTGAAAGCCAAGAGCTGGACATAGCTATGATAGTTTTATATAAATTAAGAGATGGGCACAACAATTCACAGAAAACACCACTTAACTAGTTCTCTGCCAATGCTGTATTCTTGTCTTTTTTTCTCACTTTCAGCCTAAAGCGACAGGTACAAACTGGAAAAAGGCTTTAGTTACCAAACCGGCAGCTTGAAAATTAAGCTAAATAAAACTTATGAAATGCCATCAGACAAGATGAACACTACTTACTACTACTGCCATGACAACACATCCTGCTTTTCTGTCACAACCTGCTTTGAGGCCACAAGCTTGTCATGTCCCATCTCTTTTTGTGGCATTGAATCAAAGGAACAAGAGGCAACAGGCTGAGCAGGCAGAATGACTGATGGGAGAGGCAACACAAGGAAAGTAACCAGAGCACCAGTTGATACCCTCTGTTACACACTCCTATTAGGGCTTCCACCTTAAACCTCCCTTCAGTTAGTCACAAGCTTTCACATGGTAACAGTTTACAATCAATTTCTAATAGATTGTGACACAATTCCCTTCCCAATTCCAAGACTCATTTTCAGAAAGTTTGGTAAAAAAACCCTAACAAATAAATAGATGGACTCCCCTCTAGACTTGGAATAATGCTTTGCCCAGAGAGCATGAGTAGTCAGTTTGATCAGTTTAAGTACAGCTGTACTGCTTCATCTGCTGCCCAACTAATGTCACTTGATCACCACACAGCATGAATTCCTCCAAATGCCAATTTCAACCTCTGCAAAGCTGCTGTTATATGCAGAGTTTGACTTATGACATGGAAGATTTCTAACTCTCATCAGATATTTTTCTTCCTTTCACCCGCTTAAGTCTTAAGAACACAACTACTCCAAAAGGAGTTAAGTTTCATAAAAGTGTAACACGCTTGTGTACACTTGTAGGTATTAATGTGACCCTAAACAAAGCAGGAAAGATGCTCTTATGAAATGTACCCCCCCTTGTTAGAGCACTAAACAGAGCTTATATGAGAATATAAGCCCTTGAAGTGGAAGAGAGTGTCTTAGAGACACACAACCTTTT